ACTGATGGCAAATATGAATGAATTGGAAATAATGGGTGAATTGCGGCGAAAATACGGTTACAAAGAGCGCAAAAAGTGTGTGAATTTGTGTAAAATTTTAAACAAAGACTGCAAAGATTTTTAACTTTCTGTAATTACCAAGATATTTTATTAAGTGTATATTATTACTTTATTTATTATTAATAACAAAGTACATTTAATTTTAATGACATTTAAAAATTATTACTTTACATGTAAATTATATAAATATTCTTTTTAATTGTTAAATAATATAGATACAGTATAAATAATATTATGTAAATAAACATTATTTATACAAAGCACTAGAATATTAGTTAGGTTAGCAAAATGCCATTAAGAACTCACCAAGGTCACTGATAACAACTAAATAAACTGACATAGTTAGCCAATTTACATAACTGTAAATTGTTTATATTTTGTATATTAAATTGTATGCATTCAATAGTTGTTTTAAAAACTTTGTATATCTTGGAGTTTACATGTTTTATTATTTGGAAAATTATAATTAAATACTAACGTTAAGTAAAAATATAACATTACTAATAATTAATAATTACTTCTAAATTGAAATGTATATTTTTATGACAACTAATCAAAGTAAAATATTTTATTATACGTGATGTGAAAACACAAGTATCCTAGATAAGGTTATTTTATTGTGTTTTAATAAACACTTAAACAATTTGTGCAAAATTACAATTAATTGTGGCACATATTAATAAAAATGGATTACAATAATAGTAAAAATTGTATAATTTGTAGCGGAACTAAATCTATTGGTATGAGAATTACTAATTAATTAAATTAAAATTAATATTTAATTAGCATTTAATGTGATATTTAGGCCGACATTTCGGTGCAATTACTTGTGATTCGTGTAAATCATTCTTCAGGAGAACTGCTTTTGTAAAACAGGTTATAAATTATAACTTATAATACGGACACATACTGTAGATATTGTTATCAAAATTAAACCATGTTTATTTGTATCTCAATTTTATATAAATAGTTATTTGAATGTCCATCTGATGGCAGATGTAATATAACGGCCGATACAAGAAAGTCGTGTCAAAAATGTAGACTTAAAAAGTGTTTTGACGCCGGAATGAGAAAAGTATTAAGTATTTGTATTTTTGCTATTTATTTGTTAATTTTTTAAATTGTATTTTTAGGAGTTAATTAAAACTGCATATAAAACTAAAAATACAAAACAATTTGAAAACAAACAAAATATTCATCAAAATAGTAATCAAAAATCAAATGATAACTCTATTAATGAGTTTTTAAATGATAATAATTTTGATGAAATCCTATTAAAAGACAACTCACATGAAAACACATGTAAATTAAATGATCAAATTCTGGATTTAGACATTATTATAACAAATGATTTCAATGAAGTTAATAATAACAATTTACAAGTGAATACAACACAACAATTAATGTCATTACCAGTGGTTCCCATATTCAAAGAGCTGACAGATTATAACGGTTTGAATCAATTGGAGTCAAACCGTATATCAGAGCTGTTCAACGCATCCAAAGTTATAAATAATAAATTTATTAAAAATAATATCATTGAAGTGACGGATAGGCAGTATTTGATGAAAATGACAGTTAAATGGGCTGAAAATGATATTAAAAATTATGTTACTTTTATCAAATGTTTGAAATCATTCAGAAATATCTGTCAAAGCGATCAGCTTTTGCTAACAAAGAGTCAATACTTGGATTTAGGGCTCTTTAGAAGAATATCTGATTATGACATCAAAACTGAATCCTATATTATTCTCATTGTATGTCATTCTCTCTCTCTCTCTCTCTCTCTCTCTCTCTCTCTCTTACATGTATTATTAAGTTATAAAGTATAATAAGTTATATTATAAAAATAAATGGGTTATGAACTGTAATAATGTATTATCAAAGTTACATTATTGTAAATTAAGTTATTCATCAAAGAATAAAGATGTTGCCCTGTTTGCTCGTAATTCTTTTAAATTTTAAAATGAATCTAATATTTGTTTAATATTTTAGCACAATAAAACATTTTTAAGTTATATTTATAAAAGTAAATATTTTAGTGGATGTAATAATGTTTTATCAACATTACATTAATGTAAATAAAATTATGTATCAAAGTATAAAGGTGTTGTTTGATCGATTGTTAAATTTTAAATCTTAAATGGATTAATCTTAAATATTTTAGTACAAGAAACATTTTTGTGCTTATCTAATTTACAAACTGTAAAATATTACACATATATAGAATCCTATTCTCTCTCTCTCTCTCTCTCTCTCTCTCTCT